CCATCCATCAGCTGCCTGGTAGGAATAAAAGTCACCAAATAACCCGCTGCATTAACTTACAGAGAGCTTAGCTCAAGGTGTTTTGTGCTGGACAGAAGTGTAAATACAAATCCAACGTATAAAGTTATCACTTGTTCCTTGTTGCATTTGCACACATTGCGACATACCCATAGACATACAATCCACAAGAGAATCAGAATAAAGTCCATCCATTCAGCAAATATTTGGGAGCTGGGTATATGCCTGGGCTTGTTTTAAGTAACTACTGGGCTCTGTACTCACACTTAAATGCTTGTCAGATTGAGGAACAGACCATATGCAAGGAAGTGAACAAGCATTTGAATAAATAAATAGGATACTAAAAACAAAGAGTGACTGTGGACGGGCTCCTCTGGAGAGCTGATCAGAGAAGGGAGAGGCATTGACACTTAATTGGAATTACCTGTCTGCTCCCATATTGATGTCTCACTCTGAACTAGAATATAAACAGCACAAAACAGGATCCCTGGGAATTTTACTCTCGAGTGTGTGCTCAGCACCATAACAGTGCATGGCCAGCAGCAGACTCTCAGTAAACACTGAGTAACAATGAGTGGGTGGCATTCTTTGGTGACTGCACAGCCAACTGGTTCTCCACTGACATGTGTGGGCTCCAAGGTCAGGGTTACGTCTGCCAGTGCCTCCGGCTTTCCGCCTTCCGTAGACACGTAGGAAGCATCTTGTGGCAGGTGGTGTGATAGGAGCCACAGATGGAAAAATAGGAGATGGAGGCCTCCTGCTCTGAGGAGCTGACATTGTAGCAGGAAGGTGAGACAGAAAATGAACAGAGAAACAAGATCCTTTCACATTTCCCCAAGTGTTCCAAAGGGAAACGGCATGGTACGGTAGAGCATGGTGGCCGTGGAGAAGGGGCGAGGGAGGAGAGCAGTACATGGGAGGGGTAGTCAGGAAATACCTCTCTAAAGAGATAAAATTAAAGCTAAAAACTGAGCCTTGCTCCTCCCCTGACTGCAGACAGCAGAGCAACACAAGCCCACACCCTAGCCATGCCTGAGAAATAGTTAAGGACTGAATGAAGGAAAGAAGGAATGAACAGATGAATAGGCGAATGTCTACAGAGCCACAGGCCAGTTCTTTAAACAAGCAGAGGGAAGAAGCGGAGTTAGCAGCTCCCCCGGCACACACACCCTTCCCAGGATGGGGCTCACTGCCCACTTCCCCACAAGGTGGGTCATGACCTGGCAGGATGCCCAAGGCCCCACCAGTAGCGTTTTGGAACTGAAAGCACTAAGAGCTGAGAGTGGGGCATGGGGGCCAGGCGGGAGGAGGAAGGTGCTGGGGTTGGGGCACAGCTCACCTAGGGCAAGGGCCGCGAGGAAGGCGGTGATGACACTGCTGGCACACAGCAACTCCACCTTCGCAAAGTCCAACTCCCCCCTAGACGCAGCTCCCAGCAGCAGGGCAACCAAAGCCGCCAGGAGCCCCACGACGGTGGCCTGCACCTGTCGGGCAGAAATCAGAAACGTGAGGAAGGGTCCTCTGAACTCTTGCTTCTCTCATTCTCTCAGTTTTCTCTGATCAACCTCCCTGGCTGTCAGGAAAATTTTAAATGAAATCATAACTTGAAGACATCTTATTTATTTGTAACCGCTGTTGGTCCTCCTCTATTAAAAGATAAGCGCTGTCTTATTCTCTGCTGGGATCCTCAGCTTGAAAAGAGAGGCTGAATCTCAGCCCTCATCTGTGCTCACCACATAAACGGATGCAGGAATCTATGGATGGATGGGATACACTATTTTTACCCATCAGAATAGGTAAAATTAAAATTTGAAAGGTTGATAATATAAAATACTTCTGGGGGAAATGGTCTCATACACTGATGGTGGTAAAATTGGTACAGGGATTTTGGAGGAAAATTTAGATGTACATTACCCATGTACCTAATGATCAAGCATTTTCCAGGGAAACAATTGTACCTATGTGCAAAGAACCATGTAAAGATAATAATATTTGGAGCTGCTACTTACTGAGTGCTTACCATTTGCCATTGTAAGAAATTTTCATTCATTAAGTCGTTAAGAGAAAAGTACAAATTACAGAATTACATATACACTGTAAGATTGTTTTGTTGCTGTTAATCCTCACCTGAGGATATTTTTTCCATTGATATTGAGGGAATAGAAGGGAAAAAGGGAGAGAGAGAGAAACATTGATGTGAGAGAGACACATCGATTGGTTGCCTCCCACACACACCCCAACCAGAGCCCGGAATCAAACCTGCAAAGCAGGTACATGTCTTTGACCAGAGAATGGAACCCTTGAGCCTCTGGTGCATGGGCCAATGCTCTAACCACTGAGTCACATCAGCCAGGGCTACAGTATAATATGTATTATGCTTAAAAATTCAGAAAATTGTTATCATACATTGTCTATGGCATATATATATATATATATGTGTGTGTGTGTGTGTGTATATATATATATATATATACTAGAGACCCAGTGCATTAAATTCATGCCAGGGGCTTGGCCCTCTCAGGCCCTCACAGCCTCTGCCGGCCCTCACAGCCCCAGCTTTGTCTTGAAGGTCATCCAGATGGTTGTTCTGCTGTCTGGTCTAATTAGCATATTAGCTCTTTATTATATAGGATGATAAATACAAAAAGTAGTTTAGAATACTTTCAATGCTGGTGAGGTTATGAAGAAACCAATACTTCAAATATTAATACTTGTGCTATAGTTTAATACTAAGAAAGCAAATATTTTGTAATCTTTTGGGGGAAAGTGTGGAGCTTTAAACTGTTCATACCTTGTGAATGTGTGGGAAGTTCTCTCAAGAAATTCGTGCTAAAGAGAGCATTTTCATTGCAGGATAATTTATCAAGTAGAAGCCTCCACACAACTGCAGGTGCATCCACAAGGCACTGGTACAGTGAAGTGGGTCTGGGCCGAGGTCAGGCAGGTTTGCCCTGGCCCTGCTGGGCCAGCTCTCGATGACTGTCCTTCAATCTTACTGGGGTATTTCCAGGCCCGACTAGTTGTTAAAAATTTTTAATATCACTCTTGGTTATATTTATACTAGGGGCCTGGTGCATGATATTCGTGCACAGGTAAGGTCCCTAGGCCTGGCCAGCGATCAGGGCCAATCAGGGCCTTCTGGCTGCTGGCTGCCAAGGCCTTCCTTCATTTCGCACCACCCTCTGGTGGCCAGTGCATGTCATAGTGAGTGATTAAACTCCCTGTCTCCCAAACTCCTGAGGGGACACTTTGCATATTAGCCTTATATAGAGAGAGATGCTGGAATATGCTGACATTATTAAAAAGTTTTCTTGTGAAACTTGTTGCACCACTTATGTTGGATGTTTAGTGTTTTAAAAATAGAGGGAACAAAATTTTACCCTCACTATCATTCGGGCCATGTGCCAAGCCACTGCCTGGCCCAGAGCAGGACTTAATAAATGTTTGTTAAATCCAATCATGTGAAAATATACACACATATGAACAAGGATTTGGTGTAAAACAGAAAAGTAAAACCGGTGGCTTGTAGCGGAGGTATTTATCACTTACCCCTTGCCAGATCCACTGTTAGGGGTATCATGAGTGTCTCATTTAATCTCTGAAACTCTTCAGCTACAAGCCAAATCTGGCTGTACATTATCCATATACCTTACAGCAAGCATGTCAAACTCGTGGCCCATGGGCCACGTGCCTCATTTATTTGGCCCCTGTTAGCCTCTGAGTTTGACATGCTTGCCTTACAGTATATCATGGGTGGTCCTGGCCCATACAAGTCACCTCAAGTGAAGAAAGCAAACATCCAAACACAGAATTGCAATAGGGCAGCCCCAGCAGCACACCCAAGGCACCAAAGAGCTGTACCTGGTGTCAAGTTAGAACCGAGAATTAGAGCAGTGGTTCTCAACCTTCCTAATGCCGCGACCCTTTAATACAGTTCCTCATGTTGTGGTGACCCCCCAACCATAAAATTATTTTCGTTGCTACTTCATAACTGTAATTTTGCTACTGTTATGAATTGTAATGTAAATATCTGATATGCAGAATGTATTTTCATTGTTACAAATTGAACATAATTAAAGCATAGTGATTAATCACAAAAACAATATGTAATTATATATTCAATATGTGTTTTCCGATGGTCTTAGGCGACGCCTGTGAAAGGGTCGTTCGACCCCCAAAGGGATCACGACCCACAGGTTGAGAACCGCTGAACTAGAGTCTTTAAAGGGCTTCATTGCCAAGTGAACAAAAGGAGAAAGGACATTCCACAAAGAGATAACCGCATATGCAAGACATGCGGCTGGTGGGGAAGGTGGGAGCAGACCGTGAATGCTTTTTGGACCAGGTCCACACTTGGACAAGGGGAACCAACAGAAGGGCTGAGAGAAGGAGAGGTCTGACCAGCTTTAGGTTTTTGAAAAGGTCACTTAGGTTACCATGCAGAGGTGAGTGGAAGGTCAAGAAGCCTGAAGCAGTTAAAACAGTGAAGACATTTGCAGTCAGCAAGGGGACCCAGAGGCCGAGGCAAGGAGGGGCAAGGCTGGATTCCTGCATAGCTCAGAGGTAGGATGCTCAGTACCTGGATGTAAGGATAAGGGGCAGAGAAGCTGAGGTGACGCAGTTTCCAGCTTAATTAAATGGTAAGACTATTCACTAGGCATAGCTGGCATGATTGATTATCACGTGCAAGCTAGACACCATGCCTCTCCTACGACCCACAGCTCACAACAGCCCACCTTGCAGGTGAGGTGAAGTGACTTGCCTGAGGATCCCCAGCTGGTTGACTCCCAGAGTGAGTTTTCAATCATCAAACCAGACTGAGTTGGGGACTTCAGAACAGGTGAGTGAGAGAAGGGAAGGTGATGAGGCCAGCTCTAGCTATGCTGTTTCAGGGATACTTTGGGGGACAGTTTGCACCCTAGGCTATGAGAAAAAGAAATGAACAAGTACAGGCAAATCTTTCAAGAAGCCCCCAGCTACTGCAAGAATGTGGTCTGGTGGGCATGGTCTGGTGAATGGATGAGTAGCTCCCATCCCCAGAGCTCAGTCCAGAGCTCAGAGACAAGGCTCACTGAGCCTTCACTCTTCCTACCGGCCTGGCTGCAGATTCCAAAGAGGGGAGGGGACCCATCCACCAGGTAAAGGGGAGAGTCACCTGAATGAGGGCGAGGTTGCTGTTGATGACTCGGTGTTGCTCCCGGGGGTCATCAATTTGTCCAGTGTTGGCCTAGTGTGGAGAGAAAAGGGCAAAGGGTAAGTCTACTTAGGCCCAAAGCCAGGTCAATCCTTCCTGGAAAAAAAGGCAGTCTCTCAAGAGAGCAATCAGTAAATACCACTTCACTGACGTCAGAACAAATTATTAACCAGCTTTCAAAAGAGTGACTGGGGAGTGGAGGGGTAAAGACACAGGTGCCTTTGAGAATCAGATGGTATCATAAACCACCTCTCCCATACCCAAGTGTGGAAACGCACACACATGTATACATGCACACAAGCACACACAGGCATGCGTGTCACCCACAATTTCGGGGCCACTTGACTCCCAAGTTCCTCCACACACCACAGGGGAGGAGGACTCTGTGACCCTGGCCTGCGCCCTCTGCCAGTTCTCTGGCCCCATTCTCCTGAAATTCCCTTCTTCCCACGCCAGTGGACATCTCAAGGAACCGCCAACCTCCCAACCTCCTCTCCGCAAATCATCCCACTTCAGAAACACATGGGAGTCCCTCCCCTCTTAGTATGAAAACATAGGCTCAGAAAGGTGACTCTCTCCTTTAAAGATGGTCGTCAGGTCCAAATATCATAGCAATTGCCAGCGAAATTCAATACGTAGATAAGAAAAGATTTCAAAGCAAATATGTTTTCTCAGCTCCTTTGTCCTGAGTTCTTTAAGTTCCTGAACTCCCAGGGGCAAAATAGAATCACTTTTGTTTGTACAAATAAGGAGAGTTGTTTTTTGTCATTAGCATGAGGGATGTTGGGGACATATCACAGAACTGTCCCGGGGCCTCAGTCAGCTCCAGACAAACACCCACCTCAGGTGCTCACAGGAACAAGGGAATCAGGTGGGGCAGACCAGCTGCCGGACCTTCCCTTGCCTGGCTGACTTGTGCCAACAGCAGGATACCCGGAGGCAGTAAGACTGCATGTTGGGGTAAGAAAAGGCAGAGCAGTGCCTACAGTGGCCATTAGAGGGACACACAGTCCCCAGATTTATAAGACCAGCTACTGGTACATACCTCTAGGCAACATTTTGACTCTGCCCCCCAATCACCAGAGCTCGCCTGCTCCAAAGAAGGCAGCATTCTCGGAAACACAGAGTAAAAGGAGATCTAAAATACAACTGTAAGAGAGTGAACTTCTGTTGTTCCAAGCATTAAATGTGCAATACTTTGTTAGAGCTGTGACAGGGAACCTGACATGGGCTTAAGACACAGAACGTATTCTCTTACTGGTCAGGTGGCCAGCGGTCTGCAATGAGTCTGATGGGGCTAAAATCACGGTGCCAGGAGAGCCTTGTTCGAGGGGAGTCTGTGCCTGTGCCTTTTCCAGTCGGTAGAGCAACATGTTTTGGCTCATGGCTCTTCCTCCATCTTCAAAGTGGCAGAACATCTTCTCCTTGGTCTCTGCTTCTCTCAGAGGCCTCCTCTTCTGTCTGAAACGTCCCTCTGCCTCCCCTACATCAGTGCTCTTATGATGACACTGGGTTAATCCAGGATGCTCTCCCATCCAAGGCCCTTAACGTAATCACAACTGCAAAAACCCTGTCCATACATCTTTGAGGGCTGTTGTTCAGCCCACACCCCTCACCTGTCTTTCCTGAGTCCTGCGGCAGGCAGCCCCGGCCCCACCCTTTGCACTCCACCTAAAGCCATCGCTCTTCTCTCATTTTCTTGAACACACCACACTTCCTCTTGCCACAGGCCTTTTTCACATACTGGGTTGGCTATCCAATGGGCATAGAGAGAGGAAAAGAATTTCAACTTCCGGGAGAGATGAGAAGAGGGGCACAGCTAGGGGCCTTGTGAGTTAGAGCCCACAGGAAGCAGCTCTGGTTGTGGGGCAGGCACAAGCCCCCTTCAGGACGACCCCCCCACCCCCCCGGAGGTCATCACCAGCACTTAATACCCTGTCTCCTCTATGACATCCTCCATCAGCCCTGTGGTGCTCATCATGGCTTCAGTGTGAGTGCATGGAGCTGGGATCAGGGTCCAGGTGGCCAAGCAGAGGCAGCCCACAGACTTGGGCACAGGGACACAGAGCCCTGCCTGACATCGGGTTAGAGAAAAAACTCAGGGCACACAGGGGTTGGGCCTGGGCATACAGCAGTACAGCTTGGCTAAACAGGATGACGGGCTGGGAAGAGTGACCAAGTAGAGCATCGTGACAGAACAAAACTCAACACTTCTTTTTGGAGAGTGCAACCCACCCACCTACAAGCCACGTCGGGGAGACCTGGTGGTGCAGACATGTCCCTCCCCGAGGGGTAGCTCACCCAGATGTCCACTTACAGCTGTGGAGAGTCGTGATGCCAGTGTCATCTCCAGGTTCCCCTTCAGGCCCACTAAGGGTGGCACCAATGTCAACAGGTCTTTAACCTCCACAAACACGGGCCAGTGCTGGTGGGACAGAACAAGAAGCTCAATCCATACACACATAATGGCATAGCTCAGACATTTCTTGAGAGCTTTTCACAAGTTACTCCTCACTCCCTGTAAAACAAATGAGTAAGACTAAATCGTTTCCTTTTTTTTAAAAAAAAAGATTTTATTGATTTTAGAGAGAGAGGAAGGGAGAGAGAGTGAGAAAGAAACATCAATCAGCTGCCTCTTGCACCCCCCTACTGGGGATCGAACCCACTACCTGGGCACATGCCCTTCCCGGGAATTGAACCTGTGACCTCTGGGTGCATGGGATAACACTCAACCAACTGAGCCACATTAGCCAGGGCCTAAATAGTTACTTAAGTGGCTTTAAACTAAATACAAAATAATGATGAAGCTGTGAAATGTTCTCAATACTATTCAGTGAACAGCAGTAGAGGCCTCAAAAGAGTCCCTTTCTTTCTGGTCCTCAGAACCTGGGAAAATTGGGAGGAGGCTGGATTGAGCCCGTGGACACGCTTTGTTAGGTGTGCACAATGTGTTAGTAGAAACAGGAATGAGTCACTGATTTCAAAGCTGGGAGATCCACATGAACTGGGAGAGCAGAGCTGAGAGTGGCACTGCTTTATCTGGGACAAGGACTCCCAGGCGGCCCAGGCCTGCTGGCTGCTCCAGGCACCAGGGCCAAGTGCAAACTGCTCTGGAGTATCATGTGGCGGGGCTCTGGATTTGTTTAAAGAGATAGGAGGTGCGTCCATACAGGTCTCTATCAAACATAAGGAAATAAAAACATGAAGAATGAGAGGGTATAAAAAAGGAAACTCATGGATATGGACAACAGTGTGGTGAGTGTGAGGGGGGAGGGGTGAAGGTGAAGAGGGCATAGAGTAGATGCTAAAAAAATTTAAAATTTAAAAAAATAAAAGAATGAAAGGGATGCATGTTTCAAGAAAACTAGAAGAGAAAACAATTCTTTGTGGAGTGGAAACTATTCCAACCTACTTAACATGCAACTAGATTATTCCTCAATCATTTATAATGATTCTACTGATTTGTTTGAGCTCCCACACCATGCCCCCACAGTTATCTGTGACCCCTATACTAAAAGCTCCTCCTGGTTTTAGAATGCAAGAACTGAAAAAAAAAAAAAAAAACACATACTTTGTCAGCTAGGAGATAGGAGGCCTGGGGACCCCCATCGCCTGAGACAAGAGCTGAATGAAGCTGTGCGGATCCACTCACTTCTGGGGCCTGGGGAGTCATCTATAACGCAACCTGGAGGTGAAGGTACTGGGCCAGGGCATCTTACACACACACACACACACACACACACCCCACCTGCCCAAATATGTACTAGACTCCTCCGTGTAACAGGCTCACCTCTGAGCTCTCCACACTGGCGCCTAGGACCACATCCCCGTCCTCTGCTGACCTCTCTACTCTCTCCACCTTGACCTCCACTGAAAGCTCTTCCTCCTCCCAACCTTTTAATTTTTTAAAATGTAATTAAAGAATTCCCCCCCCCCCGCCCCGCCAGAAAAAAAATTTTTTTATTTCCCTTTTCCATATAGGAAAGCTACAAGGTTAGACATTTCACCAAAGTCTAATAAGCCTTGATTTAAGATGGGCGCAGGCTTTCAACTCTGCATAGTCCTCAGGTTCCTGGACAGCCTTGGGGGCTGATTTGACCAAACTAACACACTTGCTCCAGAAAACGCAGGGGCAATCTTTTTCAAAATTCCAATTCGGCAGCTGAGAAACGCCGTTCAAGGACAGATTGCACGCCGAGGGGAAGATCAGGCTGCCGCCGGACCCCTGACTGCCCTGTGGCACACACGGCTCCTGACCAATCCTTCCCCACCAGATTCACCCCAGCCCATGCAAAGTCCGCTTCTGCCAACAGGAAAACCCAGAGTTCGGGAGACCCGCCGGTGCAGGCCTCCTGACGTAATCCTGACTTCCCTTCACACGTGGTCTTCAGTTCCCCGTTCTGTCCACATCCTCTCCTTTCCAAGGCTGGAGCCAACTTCCAGAGCCACCCCACCCTCCATCCACACAAACGGCCCGGAGGAGGTGAAGGCTGGACCGAGACCCTTCATGCAGGCGTCCCCCCTTCTTGCAAGTGGCTGCTTGGGTGTGGCTGGGACACATCGTGGCCCAAGAGATTTGAGACGTCATGTCTAAACACATGAGGCATCACACAACCATGAGGGGTCTATTCAGGCACAAGGTCAACAGACGTGAAAGGTAAAGAAGAAAAACGGTCGGACCCTGGATACTGGGCGACACTGGTAATCCAGCGGGTGAACTAGTGCCGGGGCTGCCTGATCTGTAGACTTCTTTACAGGGATCAGAAATGATTTAGTGACTTTGAGTTAAGTTTTCCATTCCTTACAGCCCGAGCACCCTGGCTGATGCCCTGAGGTCTGTGCTGGTGATGTGCGATGTCACCGGCTCAGATCTGCCTTCTGCGTGTTACACCTGCTGACCCAACTGCTGACGGAACCTTGATATCCCACAAGCCCCTCAAACTCAGGTTTCTCAACTCAACCCTCCTCACCCAGCCCCCCATGCCCTGCTCCACCCACCAGTTCTAAGCATCCTTCCTGCTCTGCCAGCAGGAACTTAATTAACCCCTCGTGTTCCCCGCCATCCTGCCATCCAAATCTTTGTAGCTGTCCTACATTCTGCCACTGCCCTCTCCAGCAACACTTTAGACATCTAGCTGAGGCCCTAGGGAGGCTGAAGTCAATCAGAAGTGATGATTCTTCATTTGTGATCAGGACCACAGCTTCCCAGCTTCCCGATGGGGCCTGGAACCGCACCCTCAGGTGTCTCTGACCCTGCTGCCAGGGTGAGTTTGTTGCACAGATGACCATGGCTCCCAGCCCTTTAGAACCCTTCGTTGCCAATTCCACTCCTGGACACATACCCAATAGATATGAGTCCTTTTGCCCCATCCCCACCCCCAAAATATACAAAAATGAACCTCTACCAATGGAGACCACCATAGCCTCTGGCTGGCCTGGACCCCCAGCCTGACCTCTGTCCCTTGTCTTCCCAAGGAAGAGCCCCACGAAGATTCTGGGGGTTGAAGGGAGTAGTGCCCATCACCCTCAGGTCACAACACAAGGTCACCCATCTTCACAGTCCTGCAATGTGGGTGCATCTATTAGTCCCATCTACAGATGGGGAAACTGAGGTGGGGGACACTAAGGAGTTCTCTCAGATACTGAGCAAATGGCAGAGCCAGGATTCGAACTCCTCAGTCCCTGCCTAATGAGTCTGCATTCCCTGGAAGGAAAATGGTTTGAGCTCCCAGAGCTAATGTGGCTCATGTGGGCCGACCTTCAGAGAGGGCTCAGAAACTGTAAATCTCAGGCACTGGAGGACCCATCTGCCAGCACCGCTGAGCCTCAAGGCCTGGCTTAGGGCTCAGCCCCACTCGGCGGCTCCCTGCATCCCCACACCTGTCCTATCTGTGGTGCCTGGGAACCCCAGTCCGCCCAAGCCCAGGCCCCACACTGCCCCTCAGATGCCCGGTACGCACTTGGATGGTGTTCATCACCAGGCCGGCAGTCATCATGCCCAGACCCGAGAGCAGAAGGGGGACCACAACCTGGCACGTGATGGTGAAGGTGGTCTCAGGGAAGACCCCGTGGGGGGACCGGGTGAGCTCACAGCTGAAGCCTCGCAGCTTCTTGCCCTGAAAGCGGAACTCCAGATTCAGCTGGGTGACCACCATGGTCAGGCTGTCAAGCACAGTCCCAGGAGCAAGATGTCCAGGCCCAGGAAGCCCTCCGTCCTCTGTCCTCCTCGCCCTCAGCGAGATACGTTTTCTAAGAAGTCCACACAGGTAGGACGGCCAGGCGCCCTGCGTCTGTGGAAGGTTCCCCAAGTGCCCCTCAGCCAGAGTCAGAGCACACAAGTGAGGAGAAAAGGCCCGAGTGACTCAGCCTCATTGGGGCCTAAGCCAGCTCCTGCTGTCCATCTGATCTCTGCAGATAAGGTTTTCTTCAGAGTGGCTGCTACGTCAGCCGGGACCTCCCCCAGCTAGCCTGCCACAAGAAGGCTCACTGTCCCTCGGCACGACCTTGACAGCATCCAGCCCTCTGGCCCACGCTGGCTCTGGCTGGACCCAGAGATAGAGCCACGTGAGGACCGGCCTTGGCAAGGGCCACGCAGAGATCTGCCGACCTTGGCACGTGTGCCCTGGGCAGACTCCACTCTTGGCAGATAAGGGCCTAGACAATCTCAGCATGAGGGACCCACTCCTCAGGCCAGGTCTACAGCCCTCTGAGGGTCTGCAGGTCCCCAAGATACCCATATGGTCACCACGACTTTGATGTCCAGGGGGTCATGGGCACACAAAGAAACTGTGTTCAGAGGAAACACAGCCCTGTTCTTTCAAGGGCCCAGGAGATTTGTAAACGTGCTTCCAAAAGGACCACATTCTCATCTGCTACAAAGGTAAGACCAACCCGGTCCAGGAGAAAGGGCTGGGCTGCCACCGCCTTCCAGGAATTCTATTATTGTTGGGCATGTCCACCGTGCATTCACAGGTGCAGGCTGGAGCAGGGATGAAGGCCATAGCCAGCAGAAGCCCAAAGCTGAGGGTCAGGTGCACACTCACCTATGGACTGAGGACCTCACCTAAACCAGGCCCTGTGTAGGCCTCACCACCTCTTCTTAAACCACGGCCCCCCGGGGCACTTAACAGGCTCCCCTGTCTATCCCACGCTCAAGTCCCATCCCTTTAGCCTGAGGTTCACAGTCCTCACAAGTCTAGATCCTACGACCTCTCCTTGCCAATTCCAGCCAAAATCTCCAATAACTGTTTCCTTCTAGGTCCAGATATTCCTCTCCCTGCATTGTTCCTTGCACCATTCATTCACTCATTCATTCAACAGATATTTTTAAAGCCCTCTCAGGAGCCAGACATAATAAGCTCTAAATGTCTTTGGCATTCCTTCCACTGAGAGTTAGAGTTCTGTCTCCTCCCCTTCAGTCTGTGACTGCTGGAGCAGAACTCAGTGGAAGAGACACTGTGCCAGTCTGGTTCTGGGCCCAGATCCTGAGAAACTGACAGCTTCTACTTCCTATCTCTTGAGGTGTTCATGCTTGAAACTCAGCCACCATGCTATGCAGAAGCCCAAGCAATCACATGGAGAGGCCACATAGAGGGGTTCCAGCCACAAGCCCCAGCTGAGGTTCCAGTCGACAGCCAGCTCCCACTGTCATGTCACGTGAACGACTTTGGAGTGCCTAGCAAGCCACCCCTACAGAGGCTGCATTGAACAGCCAGCCATTCTCACTGAGGCCTGCCCAAAGCCCTGCAGATTCATAATCAAACTGAAAGACTAGCTTCCAACAGCCACAGAAGTTTGGTACGATTTGTTGCATAGCTGCACGCCATAGAAGACAATTCCTGCAGACCCTGCCATGGACCATGCCTGCGCTCACATGGCTCCTTCTGCAGCTCCACACGAGGCCCAGGACAAATTCCTGCCTGGACTCATGGCCAGTGAGGCACCTTCTTATCTCTGAGGCCTCGCTAGCTTCCTGGCCACAGCCGAACACATCCTTCCCCAGAATTCCCAAAGTACTTTTTTTTTTAAATCTGTCCGAAGGTAAGTCCACTTAATGCAAGCATGAACTGCTCAAGAATCTACTGTCCCTTCCTGGACTGTGCTCCTCTTGAGAAGGGAGTCTGACTGACTCACTACTGCAATCTTCACAGCACAGGAAACTATTCAATAATTTACTCCACGGACTAGTACTTAGGGCCTAATATTTGCCAGACTCTGATCTAACGGTCTAACAGATACCCATAATCTGTCAGTGGAATAGATATGAACTGAGCTTTCTGGTGTAGTAGATAATCGTAAAAAGGAAAATGTAATTATAACCTGGGAAAAGTTCTCTGAAGGAAAGTCAAGAAATGCTGAGAGCATAGAGCAGAATCAACTACACACATGTGCTAAAGGACCAGCAAATAAATGAACAAATGAATGAAAGAATGATAGATCTTCAGTTTCCCGTGCTTCTCAATACCTTTTAACAAGGAATCGTTTCGTGTTAAATCAATCACCAGACTCTCAAAATATCTCCAGATGCGTACCAGCAAGTACTGCCTTCCGTAGGCCCTGAAAGCTTCACCCTAGTTAGTGTCAGAGGCAGGACTAAGACCCTT